CAACGAGTGTGGATTTCCTCCTCAGGAGAACCCTGTCCACAACACACTATTCCTGTGAATTGGGAACATCTCCTCTTGCATAATATTATGTAGAGGATGAGATGTTCTCCATGTGTGACTGCGATAAATGTGGGCAGGAGATCTGGATTCGTTCACAATGTAGCGAAGGTTGCTTCTCTGATACAAAGCTTTCTTACTTCGTCTTCTTTACCTGAGTTTATTGTTGATCTTTCGTTAAAAAGCTTTCCACCATAATTAAAAAAAAATGGCCATCGCCACCACTATTTTGATAGTTATAATCACTTTTACATTTATTGCAAATTGCTCTCATGCCCATCTAATCCTTGATGGTAAAATATTTCCAAACCTTGCTGGTTTTCTTTTTTGGTGCCTTAGAATTACTAAGGCCAACATCATGTTGGGTTTGTTTAGTAGCGGTAGCGCTAGTTCCGACATTGGTAGTACTATCATACTATGAGTGAGAATGTGAAATTAATCAAGGGAAACAAAGTAAAAGGGGGTGTGAGAGGAACCGGTCATTTTAATAAGCATTAAAATCTAAAATTTATAAAAAAATCCAACTAACCCAATAATTGCACTTCAGTCCTTGGAGTTCGGCTCGCCGATTCAGTATTTCAACTTGGATGCAAAGCTTTAAGTCTCCTAAATTGCCAACTTTAACTTGAGACACTTGATCAAGCTTCCTTGTTGAAATTAAAAAAATAAAAAAAAAATTAAGAATATGACTATATGAGAATAAAGTAGTATGAGAATGAGAGATTGTATTTGATTGAATGATTGCTGTTGTGATGAAAATGAGTAAAGGTTAAGGTATTTATAGGGGTTAGAAATAATTGAATTAATCAAAATACCCTTCTAAACTAGTTATTTATAGTTATTAAAGGGGTATTTTGGTCATTTAAAAATATATTTATCACTTTACTTGAAATGTCCCTTAAACTAGCTATTTATAGCTTCTGGGGGCATTTTAGTCATTTTTTGCACCCCTTTTGATAAAATACACAAATACTCCCTAAAATAACTATTTATAGTTGTTGGGGGATATTTTGGCCATTATACCCCCATATAGACATTATATAACGGCTAGAAAACAATTAGTTTTGGTTGGGCCAGGTCATGTTGTGTTGGCATGAACCCACATGGATTGTGGGTCGGCATGACCGATGAACCACAAGCCCTTAGCCCAATCTAGCCCCAAGGGGTTGTTCGTGCTTGGCATGACCAGGCGGCCTGACCCATTTTACACCTCTAACTAAACCAAGTATCCCTTTAAATTAACCATGGCAGCAAAAATTGCATTTCATACTAAAGCAAAGCAATCGTGCAACTTGGATCGGGTCTCTGGTAGAGAATTTATTAAATTATCAATAAGCCTAAACCCTAACATGAGCCTTAATTAATGTAGTTGAAATTCACCACCACAATCTGACTTGCACTACTACTAAGAAAAAGCAAAAACAAACAATTAAGAACTCTAGATATACTACAAATAAAGTGTATACAATGGACAACCAAAGCCAATCTAAACACATCAGTAATTTGTATGGTTGCGTATTCTGCAACCATGGTCGCAGTTTCACAGTCACAGACAATTTAGAGACCCCTCAATTAAATGTGAACATCACAATGTTTGCAATAAATTCAAGTCGGCACATCAATTGATTTTTTTTTTAATTTCAAGAAATGGTGTATTCACATTTCATTAGGGTTCGCATGCCACATGGTAGTGTTCATTTATATCATTTCTAGTGGATATGTTTTGTATTTTCTTATCTTAAAATGTCACGCCAACAGAAAAAAGTAAAACAAATTATTGGATATAATTGTTTTTTCTGAAAATAAAGTGTGAACATTGGTTTGATAAATTAAGAAAAACTTTATTTCTAAAACCAACAAAAGATGATTTGAAACAAATATATGCTATAGCTTTTGTATGATAGTAAAGAGCTACTATTTGGTTTGTAGTATATGAATATGCCAAAATTTTCTATAAATTCTTTGACAGCTTGCTGCTTTAAACAATTATAGATAGACCATATCCGCCATATTTAAATGAATTTTGGTCCAAGGTAGAAATAAATAAAAGTTAGAAAACAAAACCAATAATAAAGATAGGGGGAGAAAGGTTTATGCTACATTGGAAATGAATTATTTAAGCAAGACATGATAAACAATAGATAAAAACATATTTTCTAGGTATGCTTTCATGCAAGAAATGAATGAATGTATTTAGGGGTGTCAATTGAACTCGATTTGGTCCAATCCAATTCAGTCCAATGTGAATCCATTACAAATGAATCAGGTTCAATTCAATCAAATGAATATTTTTAATCATTTTAGATTGGTCTAATTCAATGTCTAGACCATCTAATCCATTCAAATTCGCTTTAATTTAAAGGGATTTTTAGACTGCACTCTATCTCATAATTCTGATTTGAACTGCAGACTTACAATAATTCAAAATTATAAACACCTCCATGGCTCCACCTATAACACCCATATTTGCCTGTGAATTGAAATAAATTCCGAGCTGGCACCTACTCCCAACTATACCATGGAGGTAGGATTTCTGGGGTGGACTGAACAGTAAAAAACCCTAATTTAAAAGGATTTTAACCCAAACCCGATTCATTGACACCTATATTCTTATCTTATATATCAATGAGCCAGATATTGGCTTAACCCAATTACCCAATCCAATATAAATTTATTATGGATGGATCATGTCTAATCCAATCTAATAAATATTTTGGACTAGATTGGTCTAGTCTAATATATCTTGTTGATCCATCCAATCTGTCTAAATTGATTTTAGACTGATCCAGTCCAAAACAGATCTATTGACACCCTTAGATGTGTTGATGTCTAGGTGTGCAACACCAAAACCCTAATTTGGTAATCTAGAGATTTCTTACAGAAACACAAAATAAGGGATTCTAAAACGTGAAAACCAAGCATTTATTTAGAATCTTTATTCAACTTTTTTATTGCTGTAGTTATTCAACTTTAAATTAATTAATTGTCTTAAAAGCTGATATGAAAACAAAATTTCTTTTTAGAGGCGGTGGGCAATAATGGTTCACTCATTTGGGTAAAACAAATGAGTCAATTTGCGATATCATAAATTAAAGAATAAATATATAAAATATAAATAAATTATAAAAAATTGGATAAGTCTCTAATATCACATAGTCATTCTATTAAACAAAAACAATTGTGAAAAATAATAACCATTGTTATCATGATAAAAAAGATTAACCTGTAATGATTAGATGTTTTTTTGGAAGAGAGCGAATTAGGGGTGAAGTATTGCTTCCAATTGATTATTTCAACAATGGAGCTACATTTTTTAGATGGTGGAGATTGGGGCCAATTAGGGGTGTTGATTGGACTGGATTTGGTTCAATCCGATCTGGTCCAATGTGAGTTTATTGCAAATGGACCAGGTTCAATCCAATTCAATGAATATTTTAGATTATTTTGGGTCAGTTCAATTTGTTTAAATTCGTTTTAATTTATATTAGTTTTAACAAAAATCTGATTCATTGTAATCTATATTCTTATTTTATATCAATAGACTAAATATTGGTTTAATCCAACCCAATCCAATATAAATTCATTCTAGACAGACCAAGTTCAAATCAATCCAGTAAATAAATACTTTGGACCATTAAATCTAAAATAATCTAATTAAATATGTCTTATTGGTCCGTCTAATTCATCTAAATTGATTTTGGAGAAATACAAATCAGCCCAACTCAAAATTTATTAGGCCTAAAGTACAGGGGGAATACATCCTCACTGTGAATTTATGCCAAAATCACGGGCAGGATATGATTTATGGGGGGACAGGGCTAATTGTAGGGGGGCTGGAATTCAGAATTCTGCATGTGTGTTTCCCTATTTTTCCCAATTTTTGGTTTGTGAAGGGTCCCATCCTAAACTGATCTATGAACGCCCTTAGGCCTTAGGGCGAAGTGAGATGAATATTCTTTTTTTTTTTTCTACTGGTGAAGGGATAATATCGATTGCAAAGCTGACGAGGCAGGTTTGTACTAATCCTTCTTCTAGTAAGAGAATCAGAGAGTCAGAGTACGAGTTTAATACTACCACCTCCATGGCGTTCAGAAATCAGAAATTTGTTTTGGGAGTTAACCTACAAACCCTAGATAAGCGCAAGTTGCGCAACACAATCAAGTGTCAATGTGGACTTTATTACCACCCTTCTACGGTTTTACTCGTAATATTGGGCCAATCACAAAACACCAAGTCAGCTAGCTATGCACATATGTTGTCATGTGGCAAGTTTAGGTGGTTAAATCATGACCGGTCCACGACTCTTCCCGTTTTAACTTTTAACCTGTCTACGGTGGATTTTTTTCAGACATGATCTACTTCCGTAGCAGCTCATGTAAAGGGAATTGAATGGCCAATGACGATACACCACGTCAGCTTCGTACACGTTGGTTCCACGTATCAGGATGACGTGGCATCATCCGGTTGTTGTACAGATCAGAGATTACGTGAGCTAGTCTATGGGTGACGTCAACCTCTATGTCATCCTTTTTGCCGCATCCCGATGCGTATATCTGGAGGAGCATATCTACTGCGACCATGGTCACGGGATTCCCTGTGACTGCCCAATAAAAACACGAACGCTTAAACCTTGAATTTATTCATCCGCTGACGTGTTCGTATTTCATTTGAGGGATTGCAAGGGAGTCCTGCGATCCTATGCACTGAATCTTCTCATGCTCAAATTATTGCACTATCCCAAAGTGGGTCCCAGATGGGACAAACGGAATCCGGCAAGATCACTAGAATCCATGTAAACCCTATCGCGTTGAATCATCTCATAAGCTCCATCACCGTTGATGCATCAATAGTCAATCATTTTCTCATCATCAAGATTATCTACCGTTGATCAATTGACTAGTTATCTATAAATTCAATGTTTTCTATATCTAAGCGACTATCCACGTTTGATTTTGCCTTTGGCGATATCTATTTAAGCAACTAGAAAACGAAACTCTCCCTGTTTTCCTGTCTCTGTCACGAAATTGCGAGAAAGCAAAGCGAGCGAGAACGCCGAGAAGGTCAGACAGGTACGAGAAAGCCTGATCGCTGTGGGTTTTTATATATATAAGATATATATTTTTCTCTTCTGAATTGCTTTCTCTGATTTCTGCAATTGGGTTCTGAATTGTTAGTTAAGATGGGAAGTGTTGATCCGTCAATGGTGGTCCGGGGGCGGTTGGCAGTTCTCTCAGCTCATTTAGCCGGTGCTGATACCGCCGGTTTTTCTCCAATTTTGGATACTTCATGTGTTTCAGCTCAGGAAATCGTGCCACCGCCGCGGAATCTCAAGGGGACGTTGACGATCGTTGACGAGAGAACTGGGAAGAAGTATCAGGTTCAGGTTTCTGAAGAAGGAACAGTGAAAGCTTCGGACTTGAAGAAGGTAAGGCTGGAATTATTTTGATCGTAATTAACTGTCTTCTCGAAAAGTGTCTTGCTTTGACTAATTTGTGTCCTTCTGAAACTGGGTTGATTAAGTGATTGTTATATCTGCTTTTCTTTTCTTTTACTCGTGTCGTGGATTTCTTGTTCCTGGTGAATGAATTTGAGTTCTCTATTGTGCTTGGGGTTTTAGCACTTCTAGATTTGTTTTCTAAATTCTGAATGAACGCGTATGGCCGATATGTTGTTCAAGTTGTGATTTAGATAATGGCGTGGTTGAACTTAGAACCCTACCATTTGTGGAAAATGCTTTCTGGTATATTTGTGCTATTCTATTTTATTTTTCTTCTTGGCCAATTCACTATCGTCCTTTTTTTGTTTTTTGTTTTTTGTTGTTGTTTTGTTTTTGTTTTTGTTTTTGCTTTTTTCTTTTGTTTTGCCTAGAGTTTTACTTATAGTTTGTGTAATTACAGATAACAACTGGAAAGTACGACAAGGGCCTTAAACTTTATGATCCTGGATATCTTAATACCGCTCCTGTGCGCTCGTCAATTTGTTATATAGACGGAGATGAGGGAATTCTTAGATACAGAGGTTACCCGATTGAGGAATTGGCCGAGAGCAGCACCTTCCTGGAAGTGGCCTATCTCTTAAGTAAGTATGCGTGCAAGTCTGCAAGAGTTGTTGTGCATATATATATATATATATATATATATATATATATTCAGTTGATAGATCTATTCCCTTTCTCCTTTTTACAGTGTATGGGAATTTGCCTTCTCAAAGTCAGTTAGCAGAATGGGAGTTTGCAGTATCTCAACATTCAGCTGTTCCTCAGGGGATTCTGGTGTTTATCTGTTCCTTTTGTTTAGGCAACCCAAATTATGTTTGCCAATTTCAAGTTTCTAGTAGATCGGTTTCTTTTATTCGAGTAATTAGTAGCATTGGCCAATATTTTTTCCTTTGATGTAATAAAAAGATTTGGTAACTTCTGCAAGTGTGGATCCATAAATGTTGTATGCTGTTGCCGTTTAGTAGTGAGAGGAATGTCAACAGGAAAGACTTTTGGTTGAAAGTACATAATTATGGAACTATACCGAAAGATACTGATTAGGTCTAGAGGATTCCATACTCTGGGGAAAAAGGGGGAAAACTTTTGTTTCATCTTCTTTCATGAATAAGCTGGGTTAACACTGACGTATTTCACAATAAAGTTCACAGAAGAGCTACAATCTGAGACCCTTATCTTAGTTTTTTTAAGATCATCCTGCATCTGGAATGAACTCCTTAAATTGAAGAAACCTAGCATCCTTGTCATTTTGAAGGGTATTCTGGAAAGACCGACTGTTTTCATTTTATTTCTGTAATTAGAGTAATGCACCTATATTACTAAATCAAATAATATTTTTTTTTTCTTTTCTAATATATGCTTTTTTATATTTCTCTTTTGTAGGACATCATACAAGCAATGCCTCATGATGCACATCCAATGGGTGTGCTTGTCAGTGCCATGAGTGCTCTTTCTATTTTCCATCCTGATGCTAATCCTGCACTCAGGGTAAGTTGGTTATTTAAACTTTGGTCTTTAAAGTCCTACTATTGATCTCTTTTCCTCCCAAATAAGCACTTATGCATTAGTAACATTTTATTATCTAAAAGATTCCTATTCCAAGTTTTTGAGCTCTAGAATACTGGCAGATAAATTGATCTGACTACCTTTTATATGGAAACACTTAGCAAATTTATGAATCTATTCAGCTCATATCAGTTCATCCTGAACTTTGTATTTTGACATTATTTGTTTAGTTTATCCTTATATCTGATTGCAGAGAGAATTTACTCTATTGAAATTTCTCCTGCACAGGAAAAAAGTTTTCTATTGTTACCATTTTCAAAATATTCACCAATGGGAACAATTTAGGCTTTAGATTATTGGGTCATGCCCTAGACTTTGAGCCTTTGTAACATTTTGTATATATGCGATCTGACAAATATTGAATTATATATGGTTCTGACTCTTCATTGTCAGCAAAAACTGACTTCAATTTTATTCTGACAGACTTTCTGGCCTTTTTGAATTATCATTGGTTAGGCATAACAGGGTATCTCTTCAATTTCCAATCTGAAACCTAGCATCCCTCCAACTTTTTGATTTTTTGGCCAAAAATTGGTTATCAAGCGTTCATGTTTCTTTTTTCCAGATTTAGTTTGATTTGGTTCATATTACGTAGAAGCTGCATATTTAATTTTGCATTTAACAACCAGTAGGTATTTAGGAGTCAGTTATTGACAGAAATTTTACTACAAGTTGCAGAATATTAACTTTTTTCTTTCCAAATTAACAAAATTCTATTTGGAAGTCAATGGTGCAAAAATTATATGTCAAGGTGTGTGATGCAAGACCGACAGCTCTTATATTAAACTTGTTAGAGTTAGCCGAATAAGGGTAGATTAGTCAACTCACCTTGGTTAAGTTATGAGCTTATGTGGCAGTCTTATTAGAGGTTHTYTRYYCCAYACTTAAGTAGGGGCAGTTTAGTCCWTGTACATTTAATTAGAAGCCTAATCACTATTAAGAGGTCGACTGATAGGGTTTAGCTATCAGGTTCGACAGTTCTNTAATTAGAAGCCTAATCACTATTAAGAGGTCGACTGATAGGGTTTAGCTATCAGGTTCGACAGTTCTTTCATCTTCTTCTTCTTCTCTTCTTCTTCTTCTTCTTCTTCTCCTTCTCTTTCTTCTTTTCCTTACTGGTTCGGACTACTGTAGCAACAGTAGAAACAAAACTGATATAGGATATGAAACCAAACTAATGTAGGATTGCTGACTCTGATACCACCTAATTTAGGATTGATATGATCCAAGTTGTACAGATAACATTTGAGGGAGTACTGAAAAGAAAATGATGTTTGTGGGGGCTAGAGGCAGGTTTAGGAAAGGTGAATGAGGGTTTGTCTAGGGCTCCAGAGTTGTATGATTTGATTAGAAAGTTAATCTAGATCAGAAGTTACTACAATTCAATCCTTAATGTGGAGTTTTGCAGTTATGTATAATTTCAGCTCATTGGGAATGTAGAGACTGTAACTTTAAATAAACTCTATAAATATCTTCAAATGAATTAATGGCTTGGCCTCTTAAAAGGCTTTACAGCTCATAATAGATGACTTCAAACTTTCAAGTAAATATTTTACCAATAATGATTTAAAGAGAAAAACAATAATAAAAGAAAGTAAGAACTACTGAGATGGGGGTGAACAGGAGAAGAAGAGAGATTGATTGAGAAAAACTTGTTAGGGAAGTTGACATGCCCCTCTAATATTCTATACTAGGACTGAAACAATAACAAAATTACCCCTGTTTAGTGTACTCAACTTATGGAACTACCCTTGTTACAAAATACTCAATTGTACTTGATCTTCTTTACAAAATCTGGTAAACACCTCTCTCTTTCTCTTAAATTTTATAAACATGTTCACTGATTCTTATTGATCTTCAAACATCTGTGATCATATATTTATTTGTTGAAACAGGGGCAAGATCTTTACCATTCGAAACAAGTCAGAGATAAGCAAATAGCACGCATACTTGGAAAGGTTTGCTTTTAATTTTTCTTCTTTTATGTAATACAATTTAATCTTTTGATTCTTGTTTCTTCTCTTTTTTGTTCTTGTCTCCTTCGTAACTTTCAGGAGATTTGGGTAATTGTAATTATGAATGTGTGCCGTCATAGTTATCATGCATACTGTAAATCAGTTGTGAATGTGGTTGCAGTACAACTGGGGCTGAACAGTGTCAACTTGTTCATAATTTCTCAATTTATGTGTGAAGATCTATAATGTAATTTTTCTCCCTATAAAAAGTCATTTCATATGTTGCAGGCACCAACGATTGCAGCGGCAGCTTATCTGAGGCTGGCTGGAAGGCCTCCAGTTCTTCCTTCCAGCAACCTTTCTTATTCAGAGAACTTCTTATATATGCTGGACTCGTTGTAAGTTTTGATTAAATTAACTTCCTTTCTCGTCATATTAATTAGAACACACACACACACACTCTCTCTCTCTCTCTCTCTCCAGTACCTATGTAATTATGTATTATATGTATGAATTAAGGGAGCCATATTAAAATATAGCTACTTTATCTTCCTTGGCATTTGTTCTGACTTCAACTTGATTCATCATCATCATCTACGCCTTGTCCCATCTATATAGGATCAGCTACATGAATCCTGTTTCAACTTGACTCTACTCAGAAAAAAAAGAAAGGCAGTCATCATCTGGTTTCAAGAAAGAATTTGCTGTATATTTTGACTTTTAGAAGATATTTTGAGTTCTTCTACTTTACTATTCATGAATTATGATAATGAGTTTTGGATATATAGGAGAAGAAATAGATGTAGTAGAAAAGGGAAAATAAAAAATTTGACAAAGATTAAAAAGGAAAACCACATAGGAATATAGATCAGAGATTGGAAAATTTATTACTTTCTTGGATATGAACTAAAAACCCAAACCGCAGAAAAATCTTGGTTTCAATCCAGGTTGGAGCCTACTTACAAGGTGGAATTACCACTTGCATGTCATCATCATGCATGATTCTTCAATTCCATGCATGAATGACCTACCTGACTTGTGCACGTCTGTTTGTGTGTTCTGCTTTGTTGTGTTCGGTTAAAAGGCATACAAGTGGAATGAATGGTGTTTGTCCAGGTTCATGCATGTTTGTGTTGTGTCTCAAGTTACCTGGTGACTCATGAGCAATGAATTTGATTGCCCTCTTCAGTTTGTTGCTCCTAAGAGAAATCGTTATAGAAATATTGGATTCTGGGCTTATCTGAGACCTAATTAGAACTATTTCATTTATAAATTGCAGAGGCAACCGGTCCTATAAACCCAATCCTCGTCTAGCTCGAGCTCTGGATGTTCTCTTTATACTTCATGCAGAGCATGAAATGAATTGTTCCACAGCAGCTGCCAGGCATCTTGCATCTAGGTATGTGTATTAATGTCTGCAATCCAAACAAAGCTGACTTAAGCTTGTACAACACACCTGACAGTACTCTTGCAGTGGTGTGGATGTCTATACCGCTCTTGCTGGGGCTGTTGGAGCATTGTATGGCCCTCTTCATGGTGGAGCAAATGAGGTACCTATTACATTCATCTCTGTGCTTTGTTCTGTCTGTCCATTCTTTTTAAACACAGTTTCTGGGTTTAAGTCCCATACGTTCTGGCATTGAATGGTTTCTAGTTCAAATGAACAGTTATTATATTTGATCTATTTGCATAGTTTTAAATATAGTTAATCTTAATGAATAGCATGATATATGAATAGTGAGTCAATTATCAAACAATGTGGCTTACTTAATTTGTGTTGATCATAGGCTGTGCTTAAGATGCTGAATGAGATTGGAACCATTGAGAACATCCCGGAATTCATTGAAGGTGTTAAAAACAGGTAGTTCCTATTATCTATGCTTGCTCTTCTTTCCTGTCATAAATTTCATGATAGTACATGAAAGGTTATGTTGAACAATTCAATTATCTACTTTAGTTAGTTATATTTATCTTCTTGTATGCTTTGCAACCTGTTCAGGAAGAGAAAGATGTCTGGTTTTGGGCATCGCGTATACAAGAACTATGACCCCCGTGCGAAGGTCATACGCCTGCTAGCAGAGGCAGTCTTCTCCATTGTTGGGCGGGATCCTCTCATTGAGGTTTTCCTATCTCTGTGGATCCCATAAACTCCTTTGCAAAGTCATTTTAGGGATTTTAGGAAGTCAGTTTCTGTTGAGAGCCACAATGGTATTTTGTGTTATCACTGGGGTTTTATTTGCTAGAACTTTATCATTTGCAGGTAGCTGTTGCATTGGAGAAAGCTGCACTTTCAGATGAGTATTTTGTTAAGAGGAAGCTGTATCCCAATGTTGATTTCTATTCTGGGTTAATTTATAGGTATGGCTCAAGGCATCATTTATTTTCTTCTTTGAGTCTTACCAGTGTTAAAATATTGAACATTTGTTGATCAGGGCAATGGGATTCCCAACGGAGTTCTTCCCTGTTTTGTTTGCTATCCCTCGCATGGCTGGCTGGCTGTCACACTGGCGGGAGTCTCTGGATGATCCAGATACAAAGATTATGAGACCACAGCAGGTTAGTCCTGTAGCTCATATCAAAATTATTTTGGATTTGGTGTTTTGACTTGATAGGAATTGTGGAATTTTTATCCATCATTACAAATTGGTAGAACCATATTTTTTAAGCCATACAAGTGACCCATAAAGAATAATAATGCAAATTTATGTGAATGCTGTTCATCTGTTGCAACATGATATCTCTGAGGACTATTTCAATAATTTATCATCTAAAACATTGCCTTTTCTTACCCCTTCCCAAATCTGGGCTCAACTCTCTCTCTCTCTCTCTGTAACATTCCAGTATTTTTCTTTCCTAATTTTTAGCATATGTTGCACAAATTTCCTCTTTTTTCTCTTTTATGTACCTATATTCTCTTGGGATCTTACTTCAAAGCTTAGTAATGCAATTCAAAGAGATGAGGATTATCTGTTATTCTGTTCCCAAGAAAACCGTGATTTCTTACTAGTGTAGCAGTTTTTTTTTTTTTTTAATTTTCTTAATATATTATTTCTCAAGAAATAGGTTGAAAATTTGATGTCAAAAATTAGGAGCCACAATAAATATTACTAATGCAACATACTCTGATGATGAACCAACTTTTTTGCTTCATTTCCTTGAAGCAAATGTCCAGTTGATGGTAAGCAGCCTTTTGTTTTCTTTTCATATTCTTGTTTAAGATAATTCCATGTTATTTCTTAATTTAGTGCCTTGGATCTTTCAGGTGTATACTGGTGAATGGTTACGGCATTATATGCCCATCAAAGAGCGTTTGGCAGCAGAAGCTGACAAGCTTGGTCAAGTTTGTGTTTCAAATGCGTCAAGGCGGCGTTTGGCTGGATCTGGTGTCTAGCTTAAATAAGTATGGGGGCAAGAAATAAACCACCTTTATCCAGCCTTTGGCATCAACATTACCATGAGGGGATGCAGGAAGGCTTGAGATCCTTGTAGGGACAATGCAAATAAATAGCACCATTGTGAAGGATCATTAGAAGTATTATTTAATATATGATCATTCCGTGCTTCAAATTTGTACTAGTTCTCTCTTTGCAAAATGTCAAAGTTACTGAAAGTCTGAAAGAGTAACTTTAGAAATCCAGACTGTTGAACCAGTGGCCTAGAGAGTTCCAAGACCCTACCCCCCAAAAAGCAACCCCAACCAACTAGCCTACTTGATGTTATTTCACCTTTTTTTTAATGGGAAAAAAAAATCCAAACACATTCTAGTTCTAGCCATCTCTCTCTCATAAAAATGTCCAACAAACAATACCGTTTGATATAATTTTGCTGATCTTATTATTCAAATCATACATGTATTATAAAAATATGGAAGTTCATTTGGTTGTTAGTTCCCCAAATCTGAACATTAAACTGGATCTGCCAGTTGTAAAAATCTTAGGGTCTGTTTGGTTCACAGCCAGAATTGGAATGATCTACTCCCATAGTCTGTTTGGTTCAAATAGGAATCGGAATTGGAAGTAAAAATAAACTGGAATGGGATTCATTCCCAAAGGGTGGAGAGGGAATGATCATTCCCTCAAATGGGGGAAATGCCATTTCATCAAGAATGGGAATGGGATTCCAATTCCACCCAATCAAACAATTAGAATCGGAATGGCCTATTCCAATTCTGATTCTAGACCCCTATTCTCCCAAAACAAATGAACCCCAAATACTGATCATGATCCTCGATTGATATGCCCTATGCTTTTTATAAGAAACAAAGAAGTCCTCATGCTCAACAATTTGTCACTTCAAGGAGTCCATCTATGGGTCGGTGATGTTTTGATTATTTGTAGAACACCTAATATTTTGGGGCAATGTATACATATGTCCAAACTGGTTGAGGACGTCCTCTGAGACATCAAGAAGGTACCTCTCCTCCCCAGTATCTTGGTGAGGCATCCATTCTTTTTGGGTTCGGTAATCCCAACTTCAGAACCAGTTCTAATGATACCAATTAGAGCCAGAGAGACCCAAATCTAAAATAGGTTTCCTCCGAAGGGGGGGGGGGGGGACATAGAAGGTTTAGAGAAGCATATGGACTGACTTAATCCTAATGAGATACTTCAGATTTTCCTGAGGATTAGAGTTCCTTAGAATCTGATCCTAAACGTATTCAGTTTTCATGTTTGGGTTCCCTCCAATGATGACCCACAAGAAAACGTATTAATTCAACCGATCGGTGGGCTTCCCTTTCTCCCCTTTTATCTTCTATGGGTTCTGTTGGTGACGGAGAAGAGAGAAGACTGAGTTCCTTTACTCTCTTGTTTATTTTATGTTTATATTTTTGTTTTTTATTCTATTTTTTAGGGGCGTTCATGGGTCGGGTTGGGTCAGTTTGAGTCATTTTCTTCAATCGAAACCGACTGACCCTGAAGCAAAATCGACTCGAACATGAAGGGTCGGTTTAAATATATATATATATTAAACTAAAATATATATTTCTAAATATCTATTTATATTTAAGTTTATTTTTTTAGTTTTTATGCAAAATCAAAATGTATATTTAAATCGATTAGTGTTTTATGCAAAACTGATTTTTTTGTCAATATATATTTAAATTTATACAAAACTGAATTAAATATTGTACTATCGTATTATGCTTATATTGGTTTTACTTTTTAGTTTTTATCATAAATAACCAATTTTTTTCAAAGTTCAAACAAAACACAAATAAAATATATCAACATTTAACATATAGTTTAGGGACTAATTAATAATCTTCTTACGAACATAGAGACCTCTGATTAGATGACCAGTTGGAGTTGTATCTTGATTGGGAACGATGGCGCCAACTGCACTAGCAAGAAAACACACACACTTGTCTTCTACCATGGCTCGGGGAATCATGTGAATTTGTAACCAGACTTATTGAGTTCAGACCTTGTTCACAAGACCAGTATTGGAATCGCTCCATTCTTCAAGAAGAATCCAACTTGAACGGTAAAACCAAGGACCTCTTTCTAAGGCTATGCGCCTGTCGTTCTGATTGAGAAAGGTAAATTCTAAGCTACCTCCTTCAAGAAACCTTACCGTTATATTTTCTGTAGCTTTCCACTGACTTTAAACATGTGTGGCTAGAGCCTCTTCAGAAACTTGTTGACGTGGGAAGATACGCTCCTTTAATGTCAAGTTAATGAGTTGTACTGCTTCATCTAATGGTTCGGAGATAAGAGGCTGATCCCTATCTTCCACGTTGACTGCATGTGAGAAGAAGGTCTCAAAGTCTTCAGTTGAATGTGTAGAATCTGGATAGGTAATAACTTCTTTCCCTTTTAGAGACATTCTCAGAATAAAGTAGTTGCACATGTGAAGGTGGGAAGGTGAACCTGCTGTAGGAACACTGCAAATGTCTGAAAAGAATCTTACTGTAGGTGAAACAAACAAATAGAGGTTAAATGCAAGAACGGTTGTTGGTATGTGGTGGTATGCAAGGACGGGGTTGGGTGGCAGCTATGTATGCACATTTGATCACAGAGGAAGAAAAGGGTTCAACTCAATTTGGTCCATTGACACCCTTGCTCTTTATCTTATGCCAATGCACTATATTGGTTCAATCTTACCAAATCCAATATAAATCCATTACAAATGGACTAGGTCCAATCCTATTTAATAAAAACTTTCATTAAATCTGAATTGATCCAATTCAATATATCTTATTATAGGATTTGATCCAAACTTGGTCCATACACCTTATATACCTTTAAAAGACGAGTTTGAATCTGTTGACCACAACATATTACTGGTCACATTCACCCAGCCGCACATATGAAACATCAATTGTATTGTGGTCATCAATATTCTCAACGTGCGTCTGGATGAGTGTGGCATGCAATGTATTGTGGTCAGCAGATCCCAACTCTTAAAAAACATGGAGCATTATCTATGGATAAACAGAAATAGCTAAAATCCGTCTGTATAATGTGTAGTCAATACATCCCATTAGTCCATCACATCGACGTCAGAGATTAATTATAGCTATCAAAATACCAATCCAATGGTTTGTCATTCTCGTAATGCGCAGCTGTTAAGGGTGCGTATCTCACACTCAGGGTGATCCTAAAGATGTGCAGTTGTGTAGTGGAGACCCCATCTCTTCCTCACAAGGGCGCCTCACACCGATCTCACACGTATATCCTACCATACATTGGAAACATTTTCCATACTTATAAATTATTATTCAGATGTTCTCAGTGCACGGTGGATGTTCCTGTGAGGCGCCCCTGTGTGACATACGCAGTGTGCACTACTTCAGGAAATGGGATCTACTCCTCACACAGGGGCGCCTGGATTGGGAACATCCCCGTATTTATAAATTATTATTACGGGAGATGTTTTTAATGCATGGTACGAAGTGCATGTAAGGCGCGAGTGAGGCGCCCTGTGTGAGGAGCAGATCCGGTGTCTTCCATAATACATACTATTCACAGTTTGCACTACATATTTCCCCCGCGCCCTCGGAAGTCGGAAGCCGCTCCTCCGTTAATTGTCAGCTCCACCTTATCCACTGAGTAGTAGTTAACACTCCCAGGAGAAGAGAAATGGCGGTAGCTCATACGGCCCCGTCGGCCTTCCTTTCCATTCCGCCCCAAAAATTATCCTCATTTGCCTCTCCCAAGACTCCGTTCCTTGGATTTCCAGTTGCAGTAGCACCCAAACCTTTTGTTCAAGCTCGAGCACTTACCCTCGCTAAGCCAACCCCCAACCAGATTCGTTGCCAGGGAGATGCAGTAATTCCCAAGGAGCAGAAGTGGATGTTCGACGAGTCCAATATCAACGGCCCTGTAATTTTCTCTCTCTTTTATCTCCAGCTCTCTATTTATGCGCTTATGCGTTTGCAATTCCAATTCATAACTTCCATCGAACCTAGTGAAAGCATGCATAGAAGGGTTAAAGGAGATTTCAAATGGGTCTGCTGAATGTGAACGTTTCTTGAATTATTGAAATTTGAAAGAATGTCTTGAGATGGATACAAATCGTCTTATTTTCTTCTTCTTCTTCTTCTTTTTTTTTTTGGTTTTTCTATAAGTTCCATGAACAGTTGAGGCATGTTTCTAGGGAATGTACTCCTCTCAAAACCCCAGATGGCTGAGACCAATATTGGGTAGTGGTGTTTATATAACGGTGGAGGAATACTCCTTGGGAAGAGTTCCTCTACCAGCATATGTCCGGTCTAGGGGCTATGAACCTCTGTTTGTGACTCTCCGTGCATCTCTTCTCCATGTTTCTCTTCGTAAAGTGCAGCTTACCCACCAAAAGAAGGAAAACAAGATGAATGTTCCTCTTTCCTCGGTTTTGGTGAACTGCAGAGAAAGTGTAAGGTCTATTTTGAGGCAGTCAAAGGAACATGAAATAGTTCTATACTTTGTAAGTTGAGCCAAATTAATGACCTAATCCGACTGAACCCTGCCTTCACCAGTTTTTGGCGTTGACATTTCCAGTTTATAATGGGGCTCAAGCTGGTCGATTCATCCATACTATCTAGGCCTTAGATTTCGGGACAACTGAGTTCGGTTTTTCTTCCAATCAAGTACTTCGTGTTGAAGCGTTTTTTGGTTGGCCAACTACAAACAACTGGCACGAGGCAGACCTGCTGTGGATTCAATTTTTTACACATTTTTTTAGTGTATAATTAAATTAGTAGAATATTCTTTTACTATGTATTGATGGGCAATTGGGCATCAAATCAGGTTCTTACTTCGTCCATGTTCGGGATCTTGGAGCCAGTGTATTTAGTTTTTTTTTTGCTAAATGGTGTATTAAAAGTTGATTAATTTTTAACCACTCTATTTTGTTTATTTTTTTCATTTGTCTGATTCTTCATAGAATCATAGAATGAGATTCTGTGACCAATGCCTTTCTGCAAATGCTGACTTAAGTGCAAAAATAAATTCTGGCATTGATGAAACTACATATTCTTTTCTTTTTTCAGGATATTTGGAATAAGACATGGTACCCAAAAGCTGCAGATCATGTAAACACAGAAAAAACATGGTATGTTGTGGATGCAACTGACAAAATTCTGGGAAGATTAGCATCAACTATAGCCATTCATATCCGAGGGAAGAATCTGGCAACCTATACTCCCAGTGTGGACATGGGGGCATTTGTTATAGTGGTATGTATGTACATATATATGCTACTTGCAGATGGCTATTTTCAGCTTGATGTAGGTGTAAATATGTTCTTTTCAGTTACTCTACTTTTGTGTATTAGTGTATGCTGCCTTGTGATATAAGTCAGTTTATACAATTCATATTTGGAATTTTGTTTTTTTCTTAATTATTCTACACTATGCAAAAGATGATGGTCTATCAGGGTTAGACAAAGACATCTGTTTTCCACTATGGCTGCATTTGCTTGGACATAAAATATATTGCAAGATGGTTATTTATAAAGTATTAAATTTTAGTGTTTGGCTGCCGGTAAAATACTAAGGGTAGCAAAAAAAAATCCAAATCTAGAGTGAGAACAGCGTAAAATAACTTTTGCCCTTCCTGAAGTTAAGTCAATGTACATTGTTTCTTGGATGAGATTGTAGGTTTTACTTTTAAGAATCCTACTGATAACTGTCTACTTAAGTTACTCACATCCAAAAAACCTGTGATTTCATAGAAGTCTCTCTTTTCCATGTAAGCCTAAAATTTAGTGTTCATCTGATGGCCCTGTTTTCCCAGTTTGTCTCAAAGTTGCAATTAAACATTAAAAAATGATGAAAATTATTTAAAAAAATAATTATTTTTTGATCAGCAAAAGATAACTATTTTTATCTCACAATTTTTTTAGCATGCCAAAATATTTGTTGAGGATCCAAAAATAGTCTTTGTTTCTTTTCCTTTTCTGTTCCCTCACCAAGAATCAAGTAATGCTTTCTTGCTATTTTTTTTTCTTCTGACAAGTTCCACTTCAAACATCCATACTATTACATGGCAACCTTGATAGCTTATTCTTCTTTTGGCATCATAATAAATAAGCAAAAAAGGTTGCTTTTCTCATGGAATCCATAGATCCATTGGCTCACATGATAAGAGGGTAGTGGAGATTTAATTTCTTCATTTTGATGCATACATGACTATCCTTTTCAGAACTGTGCAATCAATAGTTCAATAATGCAAGACAGCAATGTTTAGATTGAACAACCAAGATCTTTTATTTTTAAGGAGATACATTGTGGAAGTTTATGTTTTAGGTTTAACTTTAGTTGGAACATAAGTTTTCTTCATTCTAGAAATTTGGTAAGTCAAATGGGATATAGATATCCCTATATAGTTGGGATAAAGCATGGATGATGATGATGATGAAATGGGATATATGTATCTCATGCTCAATGTTGGAGCCCACCTATTTCTAAATAGTTTACTGATATCCTTTGCACAGGTGAAGATGCTTACTAAGCACTAAGCACCTTTTTATAGTGACAACAGAGAGATTTTGGAGTTGCAGGATATATTTTTATGGTCTGACCTGGCTTCCAATAGAGATGAACAAGGGAAGAATGTTATATCTAGTGAAGAATAATAGAGGATTGAAGAGGAGCATGTCATGACTAAGGGTGGAGATTTGGGAGACCCTGAGAATGGATTTATGGTGGAAAGGGGGGAGCAATGTTGTCAATGTGGTAAGCAGATGATTGTTGTTTTGGCCTCATAGGTAATGTGGTGACCAGTCAATGTCTTGGTATTAACTAGTCAAAAAAAATATATATTTTCTAAATTTAAGATATAGAAGATTTAGTTTCAGTAATCTTGTTCTCACAAATGTTAGAAGGGAAGCAGGATATGCTGAGATAGGGAGTGTCAGCCTTTGTTTTTCAAAGAAAGATTGCAACTTTGACTATTTGATGTGGTCCCCTTGTTTTTGGCAATTTTATATCAGCACAACACCGATTCGAAGAAGACCTAAATGATGTAATCTTTTGACACATTTTCAGTTAATACAGTTCATACTTTACCTTTCATAAAAAAATAAGACTTTGTAGTTGACTAGACTGACTAGTCATCAGTCAACTTAGTTGACCTAGTCTATGAGTATTGGATTTATTTTTTTGGAGGTGCTAAAGGAAAAGCTATGGATTAGCTACCTGAAGTTCTGGTAGAAGGTCGAGGAGAAAGTAATTGAAAGCCCAAGCTTGAGTGCAAGTGTTTTTTTTACAAATCTAGTTTGATATTTTTGGACTGTTTTTATCAACATCTAATTGGTTGGGATGCTCTTCCCCCCTTTTTCCCCCACTTTATTTTCTTTTTTCTTTTCTTTTTGTTTGTTTTTCTCCCTGTTGGTATCTATACAACCTCTCTATCCCACAAAGGAAACTAAAACCTTAATGGAATTAGTAGAAAAAGAGAAAACAATAATTTGATTTGAAAACAGTGAAAAAGAAAGAAAGAAAGAAAGAAAGAAAGAGTTGTAGTGAGAAGAGAAGAAGAGATGGGGAGAAGCCAATAATGATTTGGATGCCTCACTCATTATCTTATATGCTCATAAAAAGGATTGATTACAGAGACTAATATGCCCTTAATAGGGTGGCTACTATTCATAACATAAAAATAGCTCCGAAAAAACAACAAAAACTAATGGGCCTTGGCCCAATAACACTAACTAATGATTATAAACAAGAAAATCATAAGAAACTACTAAATCTCAACACTCCGCCTTATGTTGGGAGTATATGTCACACATTCCCAACTTTCATAGATCATGTTCAAGTTTATTGCTTGCAACTCCTTTTGTGAGAACATCAACTAGCTGTAAATCAGATGCAACATATGGTAGTTACACTTACCCAGATGTCACCCTTTCTCTTATGAAATGTCTGTCCACCTCTATATGTTTTGTTCTGTCATGCTGAATTGGGTTGAGCAATGTTAATTGCTATTTGATAATCATAGTGCAACATCATAGGTTCTTGTGCATCAACTCCAATCTCTCCTAATAAGGATCGAACCCAAAGAAGCTTTGAAACACCATGTAACATAGCTCTATATTCAACTTCTACACTTGACCTAGCTACAACTGGTTGCTTCTTACTCTTCCATGAAATCAGATTGCCTCCAACAAGAGTGCACACTCCCGATTAGACCTATTCATGGGCCAAGCTTCGCCTTTGTATCAACAAAATACATTCAGGCCCGAGCCCGAGCCTAGTCTGACAATTGGGCCTAGGTCTTGACCCAAGTCTGAGCCTGACCAAAGATTTGAAAACAAAATTTTTTTTCTTTTTTTTGTTCAATAAAAAAGTATTTTATTTATATTAAAAGCCCTCAAAACTCAAAAATAATAAAAGATCTCACTATTACTTGAAAAAAAAGAAGAAATATTGTATATATTTTTTATTAAATAAAATATATTTTTTATTATATAATATATATTATCAAGTTGGGATCGGGCTTTGAAAAATCCCTAGCTCGACACAAGAAAAGGTCGGGCATGGTGTTTTAGTCTCAATCCCGAGCTCGCAAGCCTAAAATAATGTCCTAGCCCAACTTAGAATGGGCCAGGTCGGGCCGACTCGTCAGCCAATCAACATCTGTATAAGCTCCCAACTTCCAATGTCCATGGTCAACAAATAATATCCCTTTGCCTAGATGTCCTTTTAGATAAGCAAGAATCCTATCAATGGCTTTCTAGTGTTGAACTTGTGGGGCATGCATGTACCGACTCACCACACTAATTGCATAGGAGATATTTGGTCTTGTCATGCACAAGTATAACAACCGACCCACCAATCTCTGATACCTCCCAACATCCTTTACTAGCTTACCTTATGAAGCATTAGTTTTGTGATTTTAGTCAATGGGTGTATCAATTGGTTTAACCCCAAGTTTTCTTATCTTTTGGTATACGTTTTTCTTCAATGCATCAGCCTCACTTAGGTCATTTTCTGTGACTACAATGCCATCCACATACACTATTAACACTGACACCAATGATCCCCTTCTCTTTACAAACAAAGTATGATTAGACTGGGTTTGAGTATAACCAAACACAGTCAATGCACTCTTAAACCTATTAAACCAATCTCTAGGTGATTGTTTGAAACCATATAACTATATAAGGACTTATTCAATCTGCATACCCTTCCTTTGCTCATATCGCTGTAAAAACTAGCTAGAAGGTCCATGTACACCTCTTGCAAATCTCCAATTAAGAAAAGAATTTTTCACATCAAGTTGGAAGAGGGGCCAAGAGTAAGCAACTGCTAGAGATAAAAGGATCTGAACTGAATTCATCTTGGCCACCGGTGCAAAAGCCTCCAAGTAGTCTATCCTATAAGTCTAAGTGTACCATTTTGCAACCAGCCTTGCATTGTACCTTTATATGCTTCCATCAACCCTGTACTTCACAGTATAAACCCATATGCAACCAATTGTATCCTTCCCATCAAGTAGATCCACAACTTCCCAGGTTTGGCTTATAATCAAGGCTTCCATTTCCTCCTACATAGCTATCTTCCACTCAGGTTTGGAGAGATCCTCACTAACAGTCTTGGGTATAAACATAGAATCAAGAGAAGCAACAAATGCCTAGTAGGAGGGAGATAACCCATTGTAGGAAGATGATGTGAGATACAATGGGTTGTGCACTTTTTCTTCCCCTTTCGGAGTGCAATTGGAAGGTTTAGGCAATCTGTAGTGGTGTTAGGTACAGGTGTAGTATCAACATGAATTGGAACATTAGATGGAGCAAAAGGCATACCTAGGTATGTGTCATCCGAACTTGGAATTTCAGATGAGTTGATAGGAAGTGGTATGGGTTCCTTTGTTGTGGAGTCAACCTCCTTATGCTACCGTAGGCGTTGTCGTGTAAAAAACTTAGTAGGATGCAATGGAGCAAGCTAAGTAGGTGGAATAACTAGGTCAGGCATTGGAGTAGGTAAAGGAGCTGGAATAGGAAGTGTAGGTTGCTCATTTCCTTCCCCAAAATACTCCCCCTAAGAAAGACTCTTCGAAAAGAAAGATGTAGATTAAAAAAAGGTGACATCCATGGTAACATACCAATTCTTTGACATAGGATCATAATAACAATACCCCTTTTGATTTCATGCATACTCGAGGATACATACTTCTTTGCCTTAGGGTCCATCTTTGAGCAGTGAGGACCAATAATATGGACAGAGAATACACATCCAAACACCTTCAATGGAACATGAAACATCTCCCCTCAAGAAAAAGAAGACTGAACACAGTAGTGTATCCAAGAACACGAGAGGGTACCCAATTAATCAAGAAGACTGTTTTGAGAACTGTATCACCTCAAAACCGAATTGGAACTATGGAGCTCACCATCATACTTCATGTCACTTCCACAATGTCTGTTCTTCCTTTCTTCTACACCATTCTGTTGTGGAATATATGTATAGCTACTCTGATGGAATACTCCATGCTCTAATAAATATGATGCAACTTTTTTTTTTCAAAATATTCTCTAGCATTATTTAATCTGAACACCTTCACTTGTACTCCAAACTACGTCAACACCATCTAGTGGAACTGTTGTACCAAGGAAGGTACTTCATCACAAGATCTCATCAAATATACCCAAGAGTACCATGAATAATCATCCACAAACAGTAGAAAGTAATGGTAGCTACCCATAGAAGGAACATGATATGGTCTCCAAACATCAGTGTGAACAATATAAAAAACTGAAGAATATCTTTTATAACTTTGCTTAAATGAATGCTTGCAATGTTTTCCAAGTTGACAACCTTTACACCCCAAATTGGACAACTTAGTAGATTTAAACAACTTTGGAAACAAAAAGCACAAAGAACCAAATGACAAATGTCCTATCTGACCCACTGGCTCTGTGACTCATTAATCCTGCTACTGACATGATGACTCTGATGACTGGGAAGCACATCGAGAAGGTATACTCCATTCACCTCATGACCACTCTTAGTCGCCCTTTTTGGCTCCTGATCCTACAAAACACAATGGCCAGGAGAAAAAATTACTAAACAATTCAATTTTTTTGTCAACTGCTCACAGATGAAAGGTTAGTACTCAACCTAGGAACATGCAGTATAGAAGGCAGGGAAATGGTATCAGTTATTTTGATAGATCCTTTCTCAACAATGGGAACATGGGAGCCATCAACTATGGACACTCAATGGGAACGTGGGAGCCATCATATGTTTTGAAGCTCTTGAATCTATAATCCAGGGAGGTTCTCCCTTACTTATAGTGGAGGCATAATTTGCAGTGGCATATGAACTACATGTATGTGCAAATGAAGTAGAATGACTAGCTCTTGGGCCACTTGCACCTTTCTGTCCACCTGGTGAAGAGTTTGAACTAGTTGTATCTCTTTGACTTAGAAATTGCCCATATCTCTCCAACTTGGCCCTAACTGCAATAGTTGCAACTGATTCCAAAGAAGCTATGGTAGTGGTCTAGATAAGTCAACAATGACTGCCATATTAGGATTCCCTTTCTTGTTTCTAAGCCAACTTGGTATAAGGTGTGGATGAAGCTTTCAACAGTTATTTTTGATATGCTTAGGCTTCTTACAATAGTCATAGATCAAGTCCTTCTTGTCCTCCTTCCTACCATCACTACCACCCTTATCCTCACCAGGCTTAGGTTTCATTGTGCTAACCATATCAAACTGCTCAAGGTTTAAGTTCCTCATCATCATATTCCTCCAACTTTCTTCTCTAGACACAAAGGCATATGCCCGAGTGAGAGTTACACTATCATGGGAAAGAACATTTTGTCGTGCAATATCATACTCTAGGTTGAGTCCTGCTAGAAACTCAAACATTCTATTCTTCTCTACCACCTTCTAGTAAGTAGTTGCATCTTTATTATTCTCCCAAACCACAGTCTCCAAATGATCTCTCTCCTGCCATAAGGTTTTGAGGGCTTAAAGATAAATTGCAACAGATTTATCGCCCTTCCTAGTAGCAATCACTTGATTCCTCAACTGGAAGGCCCTAGCAACATTTTCACTCTATGAGTAAGTCTACAATTCCATCCCAAATCTCCTTAGATGTGTTGGCCCATAGAAAATTTTTGATTATATGGGGTAACTTAGAGTTGCACAGCCAGGTCATCACCATGTAGTTCTCCTGCACCCATTGGGAAGAGTTAGTCTCAGGTTTCTTTTTTTCATCAGTGACATACTCCAATTTTCCACGAGCACCAATGGCCTTTTTGGCTGATTGTGGCTGCTCCAAATAGTTTGTACCATCCAACCTAACTATAGTGATGGTCCTTGCCCCAAAAGGGTTACTAGCACCTCCTCCACTTAGTCCCATTTCACTAGTAGATTTGTACTCAACTCCGAGCCCTCCATAATTGCCAGAATAGTTTAGAAAATCAACCGTGAGAGAAAATAGATTTATACCTTTTAGGCCTCAATCAACCTTTTGATACCTAGAAACCTTTGCCCACAAAGATTCCTGTTTCCATGGGAGCCAGTAGAAATAGGAGAAAAAGCTGCTTCTCCCACTAGAGACCTCATAAAACTCCAGAACTTGAACCGCCCCTTTGGAGAACACCAAGAAGTCTAAAAACTCCAGAGCGCCCCTTCCTAGGTCAAAAATAAAGAGCCCTACTGCAATCAAGACTCTTTTTCCTCTAGTTCTTCTTGATTTTGATGATCAATCCAAGATCTAGCACAAAGGGTTCTAGATCCACCAAAAAATCCAAGAACTGGGCACTTTTAGAGTTTTCGATCAGCTCTCTAACTCACCATGCAATCAGCTGATCTAGGGCTGCATGATGGAAGACAAAAAATCCCAAAAGTTGCTTTAATACCAAGTAGAAAAAGAGAAAACAATAACTTGATTTGATAACAGTGAAAAAGAAAAACCAAAAGAAAGAGTTCTTAGTGAGAAGAGAAGAGAAAGAGAAGAAGAGATGGGGAAAAGCCAATAATGATCTGGTCACCCCACTTATTATCTTATATACTCATAAAAAGGATTGATTATAAAGACTAATATGCCCTTAATAGGGCATCTACTGTTCATAACAAAAAAAAGCTCCAAGAAAAGCACCATAAACTAATGGGCGTTGGGCCCAATAACACTAACTAATGATTATAAACAAGAAAATCATAAGAAACTGCTGAATCTCAATAGAATCTTTAGACTTTTTTTCCTCTTTTTTGAGGTGGAGTCTTCCACATTAACATAATACTTTTCAAAACACATATTTAGGATCTCTATATTTTCTTCTCTCTCTTTGATGCACGGTTACTCCTGATCAAATCCCTGTGGGGCCAAAACTTGGGCTTCATGCCCACTGCTTGAGTAAATTGGTTTTGTTTTTTAGTTGACTTCTTGGAAGATATGAGTTGCTGAACCATGTTGGGTTAATAAATTCCTTTTCAGTGTGTCTCCCACAATTGCTGGTGCAAGTTTAGATCTTCATTTAAATTGACTTATTGAGTAACTGTTGTTTCTCAGATTTTGTATGCTTATTCCCTGGGTCAGGCCTAGAGAAATTCATAGTCAGGATGCACAGTTGGTCATGTGCTCACTCCATAATTTTTTCTATAAGTTTCTACATGTTTAATCCAAGTTACAAAAATTGAGGGGTCCTTAATGATAGCTCTTATCTTCTTTCATCGCCATGTGATTTCAAGTATAAATAAGAATTATGTGCTTCTTTCATGTGTTTCTTTAATGATTGGTACTAAACTCAGATAAATGTACTTGAAAACAGGTGAATGCAGAAAAGGTTGCTGTATCTGGTAAAAAGAGGACACAAAAGCTATATAGGAGGCATTCTGGAAGACCTGGTGGCATGAAGGTGGAAACATTTGATCAGCTCCAACAAAGAATTCCAGAGAGAATAATTGAACATGCTGTCCGAGGCATGCTTCCTAAGGGGAGGGTGAGTAACATTTCTTATTTTTTCTTTCCAAATTCCTTTCTTCTCTTATATATATATATATAAAATATGATTTAAAAAATGATGGTAAAGATAACTATTAGTATTAAGGGTCAGTTTGTGAGGGTTGAAGCTTTTTGATTAGTATCTTTTACTGAGCTGCTTTGGAGAGGCCACTAAAAGAAGTTTCAATGGAAATCTCTTTATTTGGCTGAAGGACAGCAAATTTGGGCTTTTCAGTTTTTTCCAAACATTGCTCATATGCTGTTCAGATGAGGCTAAGGTTCTAAATTGGGGCATATCGGTTTGTATCGTGCTGCGCTATATGTATGATTCTTTTTAATTTTATTTTCAAATTGGTTCAGGGGGTCGGTTTAAGGCCCGTCTACACCCTGGACTAGGCCAGACCCTGAAACACCTGTAATAGGGGCTTATCGGGGGGTTGCTGAATGCTGATACAATATGTATTGGCCGATATGCCCTGATACATTGCGATTTTTTGATCTTTGGATGTGGCCCACCATGCAAAACCAAAAGCTGCCACGAAAAGTCCTCCTGGGAGGGCTGAAGATTTGATTGAGCTGCTTTGGAGAAATGACTAAAAGAAGCTTCAGCAGAAAGCCCTACTTCTGGCTGAGGACAGCTATTTTAGACTTCTTGGGGTTTTCACAAACTTAGCATATAATCTGTCCAGGTGGGGCCCTCATAAAGCCGGAAGCCGCTAGATGAAAGCCCTCCCAAATGAGCACCAAGGAAATTAGTGGATTACTTATATGCTGTCCAGATGGGCCCCACCTTGCAAACCAAAAGCTGCCACAAGAAAGCCCTCCCAAATGGGCACTAAGGAAATACGTGACTTCATAATTAATTAATGATAAAATTCTTTGGATCTCGCTTGTGAAATTAACGTTGTCTAGGGTGCATATTTATTGAACATTAGTCCATAGCAAGTGGTTGATGCAGATGACTGAAATTGTGGCTAACTACATAACTGATGAGCTTGGTGTACTGTGTTTTTCATAAAATGTGAGTTTGATCATTTGGGAACTACCATGGCCTCTTATCTGTATGGTGTATGTGGTGTGCTGTGATCACCAAAAGAAGGCAGTATGCTTTGTTAGCCTATGTTAATATGGTTGAGTTATGCTTTGTTCCACTTGTCCGTGTTGACATGGTTTGAACATTCTGTATTTTGTGGTTCACTGAGTTGAAACATGTGAAACCATGTAATAAGGCTGTTTATGAATTATGAGCAAGAATGCTTTTCAAGCACAGCATATTTTATTCTAATTTTTGTTTTTTCCTTTGCATTTGTGTTCAAGGAACAACATAGTTTTGATCTGAAGAAACACCTTATTAACTTGAATGCTTTGGAAAGTTTTTTTTTTTGATGAATAAATGCCTTGGAAAGTTTGAGGAAAGCATGTTCCTGTAGACTTCCTTGAAAGATTCTTATTAAATTATTTCTTGAGAATAACATGTGGTCAAGTGATTGGCATTTTCCATGTTAGGTTCAGTCTGTTTTTGTGTGAAGAATCATTTTTAGGTAACCACTGAGCCTTTCCTTTTCCTGGTCATTTCCTTTAAAGGGGAAAATGGCTCGTAACTAGAGCCTGAAGCAGCCTCCTTTTGGTTCTAAATGGCCGTAGTTCTGGGCTGAGGTGCTATTACAGTGGCTACCCCATATGTTTTCCAGGTTCTCATGTACTATTGTTTGTACCTATATGTACATGTATTTTCTTTCATTTTAATTACTACTATTACTGATTTGTGTATTTCTTATACATAATAGTTTCTTTTCTTTCTATGTGATATCTATGCCTTTTGTTTTAACTACAACACCTTGATTAATGCTTTCTGCAAAAGTATCATATTAACAATATACTTGATAATGTTATTGGAAAAAATGAAAATGGTTGTTTTCCTTTGGCTACTTGCACAGAGATTTGCTCACAGAAGATATGTTGTATACTGTCTTGGAAGTACCATTATATTTCCTTAATATTCTTTTGTAGCATATCATAATCTCCTTTTCTAAGCTGCCCAACGTCTGTATTGGATATTTGGACTGTGCAGCTGGGTAGGGCTCTCTTCACTCATCTCAAGGTATACAAGGGCCCAAACCACCCACATGAGGCTCAAAAACCCATTGAACTGCCCATCAGGGACAAGAGAGTACAGGTACAAAAGTAGATACGGCACAGTTGGATTGTTATATTTCTTTTCCAGGAAAAGCCAGTATAAGGGCTGAGGTAAAAACCAGCCATGGATGGTGTCATTTCTTTTCTTTTTTGTTTTTTGAACACTTAAAAAGTGTTTGTCCATGTTAAATGGTTCATTGTACTGATTTGACAAAGAGAGGGACTTGCCTCAACTTGATGTCTAAATATAAACACAAATCATGTTTTATTTGTTATTTTGATTAGTGAAAAGTAATTCTGCCAATAAAATAATGTATACATATACATAGATTTATCAAAATAATAATAACAATAATGTATACATAGCATAGTATTTTTTTATCAGCAAATAAGACTTTTATTAAGATCAGAGAAATATTGAATCACAAGAGTTAGGATTCAGCACTGCATTGACTCAAGCTACAAACATATACATTGCATACTATTACAGCGCTGGAAATGCTTAGGTTCAAAATTCTAGTCTTACATAAATTTCACTTGTTTGCATAGTTTTCCAAGTGTATTCTGATCTGATGCTCATGCGTAGAGATGTTAATGGGTTGGGTCTGGTATGGGACGGTGGTAATTAATCTCATTCTCCTCCCTCTACAAGAATCCTTTCTCTCAAGTCTCAACACCTGGTACTGGTAATTAATTGTTGTGGTATTGAATGATCGTGATGATGATCTAGTTGTAGCAATCGTAGTGATGAAAATAGAAGAAATAGTTTAAGAGAGTGTTTTTTTCTCAAGTTAACAACAATCAAATAACTGAAATGGTTATCTCAGTCGAATGTTTTTGTTCTCAACCCATTCAGATTGGCCATTCTCAGCTGGATATTATCTCAATTAAGCTCAAGACAACTACGTCTACTTACTGGATTTTTAATTAAATTGAATTCCTTATCTAAGCAAATAAATGATATTGTAATGGCTAAGTTCAGGATTTTTTTTTATTTTATTTTTCTTGCTTCATGGGGCTACACATTTGGGATAGTCTGTCTACTACCCATTACACCCCAACCCTGGTGACGGCAGGATTTGATTCAAGTCTCTGCTACAACCTGCCAGAAACCTTGCCAACTAAGCCAAATGGCACTATTGATGGTTCAATCCATCTTTTCTAAAGCAATATTATGCTTCATTATTCAATTAGCGAAGACATTACTAAAAGCCAGTCAGTCGCAAATTCAATCTGGATGCACTGGAAAAGAGTTATTTTTGGTCCTCCATTCATACCAAGCCATTTGTCCTCAACAGTGCAATAGGCCAGCATGATTCAACACCATTCTATCTTTCTCCCTCCGTTTAAGCTGTTATCTCCACTGTAATTCACTGACTCATCTCCCACTCTATGCATAAGCCCTTCAATCCATGCAATAGTTCGCCCAGGTTGTTGGCATGCAACCGAAAATGCAAAGCAGCAGCAGCAGCGTGGAGCCAAGGAAAAGGTGAGGAAAGGTAATGAAGCAGCCAGAAGCAAGGCTGAAGAAACGCTAGAGTGCCAAGGAGACCATTGCATTGCATCCAACTACGACGCTGCCAAGCAGAAACCGCAAGAGGTGAGGATAACATTGCTGGTATTGGTAGAGCTCCAGACGAGGAAGTTTGAGAGAGAGAGAGATGATTGGTTAGTTGTGCACTTCCTCTCCCTCTATCATCGATCATCAGTAAGTGGTAGATACCGTACTATAAGTTTTTTATATCTGTGATTGTGTTTGGTTCTATTGTCATCATAAGAATCTGAAAAAGAAAAAAAGAAAAAGAAACAAGGATTGCGTGACGGAAAAAGAGGGGTTTTCGATGACAAAGAATGGCCCTTTTTTGTGCGTCTGCATCAAATTTTCACTCTTTTTTTTTTTTGCAATTTGATCATTAGTCACTTGTTTCGTTAGCAAAAGCCAGTGAGGGAGAAGCAAAAGTTATAACCCATAAAGAAAAAAGGTGACAGGACTAACAAGTAACCACAAAAGACCAAGGTTCAAAATAGTGATAGGTATGGTATTGTTGGATTCTCAATACACTTGTGTTTTGAGGAAATCAATTTTTTTATTAATTACATTATATAAAAACATGTATAAAAATGAATTTTTGAAAAAAATGTAAGACGAAATCAGCCCCCCACAGCACATCCCCGTTGTCTATTGGGAATATCTACCGATGATAATCCCAGAAATGATGATGTCATCATCAGGAGATGTTTGTAATACACAGCAATGATGTATTGTGGGACGTTGTGAGGGGCAATCTTGTGGCTGATTTGAACTAAAAAAATGCATAGCCTAAAAAGTATTGATACACCTGTGCCGATACATTTGGGGGCATTAATACCTTGAACTTTAAAGGAGACTGGCAACTGCACTCCATATCTTGATGAAAAGTGGATAAAGGAGTCTAGAAAAATTTCCGGTACAGGGAAATGTGAGACTGGGTTTTCCCTTGAGTCTGGATCCACTCACACCTACCTCACTAAGCATTCCACCGTGCATTGGAAACATCTCTTCATAAATACCAACATACAAATATGGGAGATGTTCGCAATGCATGGCTGGAATATAAGGTCAGTGTGAGGAGCATAATGTAAGGAGCAAATCCAGATTCGTCTCTCTTGTTTGTCAAAAAGGAAAGAAGAGATCTTGAAATCCTCTACTCAAATTTGAGGGGATTATCTTTTTCACTTTGCTTTTCCTATAATTTTTTTTGTTTGGCCTAATCCCTTTTTGTTTTATTTGGCTTTTCATATTCCTTTTTCTTGTTTGGTCTACTCTTGAGGGAATCAAACTAGTCCCTAATCCTCCATTATCATCATCATCAAGCCCTACCCAACTTGTAAGTAGTACAAGTTACAAGGATTTCTTGTACTACACACCTAGAATATTCCAGAACTATGGTATAGCCATATAAGTGAAGGAAGGGGAAATCCATCACATTGATGGCCGAACCTTGTTAGATGGTTGGGTGAAATTTCAAATTTTTTTTTACCCTTTCAGAAATCGTATTCCCAATTTTAGAAAAATTGCATTTTCAAGGATCGTTCTTGCACCGAATTGGACCAGATCTAAAACAAAAAATAAGGGAGAAGTATACTTGATACGGAATCCACAAGTGTAGCTCCCAAAGTGGTAGTTCACGCCCGAAGAGGGTACCAAAACCAGCTTCTACTGAAAATGACGCAGCTTAGGTTGAAGCCGATTCAACAACACAGTCCTTCAGCAAGAACTGTAATTCAACAGTTTGGATCGAGCAAGGGTGAGCACGAATTGAATATGATATTTTCTTGCAAAAATTAGATACCGGAATTGATCTCTATCAGCTTAAGAATTGGAGGTCAAACTAGGGTTTTGAGCGGCAAGAGTAGGAGAGAACTGAGAACAAAAGTGTATCTAGAACAGTTTGCCCCCTCCTCCTTTTATAAGCCTTAAGGATCAACACTCCTAATCCAATTAGGAGGAGTCTTTAATCCAAATCTTTATTTGGATCTGGACTCTTTAAGTGGATAATAGTTATCCTCTTATCCCATATCCATACCCATATTCTCCCATGTCACATGACTGCATAAGTTGTCATGTGACTTCTTGATTAATCTAATTAATCATGGGCTTTAGGCCCATTAAGTAAGTGGCTCACGATCCTAGATAGTTGCTGGCCCATTTGGCTCTCTTTGTATGGTGTGGGACCCCAACAATGACCTCACATAAGCCCATATGGGTTCGGTCTAACTTCTGTGAAAAAGCCTAGCTGAATTCACTATCAAGTATAGTGAACCCCTGAGTCCATTAGTATGGGCTCTTAATGGGCCCAACATTTACACTAAATGATCATTGAGTCCAGCCATCCTATGATGGCACAAGGACAATGGACTTAATTGAGATAACCCATTAGGTAAAACAACCCTAAATGGTTTCTTACACTTAACCTCTCAGCCCATAATGATCAAACACTGCCCTACAAGGAATGACCTCTCCCTTAGCTGCAAAGTGTAGTGTTGCACTCTCTGCTCGGATGGGTCCCGGGAATTAAAACCTTTTGCAAACCTTTTTCTTTAAAACATAATATATATATATATATATCAAATCTTAAACATGTTTGAAATCGACTACCGACAATTTTGGTTTCCATCAGAGAGAGTGCAATCCCAGTCATTCACTTTGTCCGACAAAGGGGCTGATTTTGTCATTATGATCACCCACTCGAGTGAATTCTCAGACTCCCCCAACATATCTAGGTTTTGATCCCCAAAGAATCTCACTGATTGACATATCAAAGACAACCCAGTCCGATACCTAGTGTAGTACTATAATCGAGTCTAGGGGTTATGTATAAATTTCTAGTTTTGTCCACTAGTCTCCACGGTCTAAGGCATGACTGAAAATTAGTCCAAGTTCAGTGTTTCGAACAAACACACACTGCATGTGCTTTGGGTCTAACCCTAGTAGCTGAGACAGGCTACCCTAACCTTCTTGGTATAACACACCAGTGTCAGCATTGGTAGGATAAACTTCCCCAAGTCTATCTAATGGCTGAGAACATTCTAAACTAACATGAGTCTCATAAGTGTTCAATTTAAGGGTAATTACACAGAAAGACCAATTATAACATGAATCAATTATGTACTTTTATTCATTTACAATAAATGCATATATACATTAATCTGATTGGACCTAAGGGCATACACTGTCTAACAATAAGACACACTTGGTAAGCGCTACAGGGAAAGAATTTGTATCCTTGATGAGCGTTTGTGAACATACAAATGGATGGATGTGTGCACCATAACTCTTAAGCTATGATTGGTTTGATAGAAAATAAGAGGGAAACAGATCCTTACCAACTTTCGCCCAACTTTGTTCTTAATTTCTTATTTTGGAATCTCCTAAGAGTAAGGTTCAAAATATCGATACGCCTGATACGTTGGTAGGGGCGTATCGAGCGATATCGATACTTTTTTTATTTTTTTTTTCAAAACCAGTTCAGGGGGGCCGGTTTAAGGCTCCTCCACCCCTGAACCGGTCAGACCCTCGATACATCCATTGTAGGGGTGTATCAGAGAAGTCCCAGAACAATATCGACCGATACGTATCGATACTTTGAACCTTGCCTAAGAGCAAAAACTATACAAACACCCTAAGTAGGGGTGGGCAAAAAAACCGAAAAACCAAACTAACCAAAATTGAACCAAAAATCCGGTTTGGTTCAATATTTTAAAAAAACTGAAGGTACCGGTTTGGTTTCGATTAACCAAAATAGAAAATCGATGATTAACTAAACTGATCGGTATACATATATTTATATATATTTTATATTTTCTATACATTATAAATTAAAAAATATGCATTATATATAAACATATATTTATAATATATAATATATTATTTATTATTTAAAATATAATATTATATATATTTATAGTATTTTATTATATATTTATATATTTTTCTATAATAAATATTGTAAATAATAAAAAAACTGAAAAACCGATGGTTAACCAAACCAATCAACCAGTTAATCGGTTGACTTCAGTTTGATTTTGGTTACTGATTTTAACCCCGATTCTATTTTAAAAATTAGCCCACGGTTCGGTTAACCAAACCACACATTGCAGGTGTACATCAGGAACATCTCCAATACTTGTATTTTTCATTCATGGGGAGATGCTTCCAATGCACGACTGCTATGTGTTGTGCGGTTGGTGTGAGGAGCAGATCTGGCCTTTATCTAGCCATACACTGAATATCTTCACATGAATATATCATATGGAGGTCTACATTGATTGCCTATGCATTCTTTTCAAATCAAATAAGTTTGGAGATAATTAAAAAAATGGAATAGCAAAACAGATTCATGTAATCAACCCAATATTGTTGGGATAAGGCTTTGATGATGATAATGATGATGGAAGTTGGGAGATAAGAAATGTGAAAATGTGGAACTATGCAAACAAGTGAAATTTATGTAAGACTTGAATTTTGAACCTAAGCATTTGTAGTGCTGTAGTAGTATGCTATGTATACATGATTTTATTCGTAGAATTGCTTTTCACTTATCAAAATAACAAATAAAACATGATTTGTGTTTATATTTAGACATCAAGTTGAGGCAAGTCCTCTCTTTGTCAAATCAGTACAATGAACCATTTAACATGGACAAACACTTTTTAAGTGATTAAAAAACAAAAAAGAAAGAAAAAAGAAAAGAAATGACACCATCCATGGCTGGTTTTTTACCTCAGCCCTTATACTGGCTTTTCCTGGAAAAGAAATATAACAATCCAACTGTGCCGTATCTACTTTTGTACCTGTACTCTCTTGTCCCTGATGGGCAGTTCAATGGGTTTTTGAGCCTCATGTGGGTGGTTTGGACACTTGTATACCTTGAGATGATTGAAGAGAGCCCTACCCAGCTGCACAGTCCAAATATCCAATACAGACGTTGGGCAGCTTAGAAAAGGAGATTATGATATGCTACAAAAGAATATTAAGGAAATATAACGGTACTTCCAAGGCAGTATAACATATCTTCTGTGAGCAAATCTCTGTGCAAGTAGCCAAAGGAAAACAACCATTTTCATTTTCTCCAATAACAATATCAAGTATATTCTTAATATGATACTTTTGCAGAAAGGATTAGTCGAGGTGTTGGAGTAGTTAAACACTTAAAACAAAAAGCATAGATATCACATAGAAAGAAAAGAAACCACCATGTATAAGAAATACACAAATCAGTAATAATAGTGACTTAAAATTTGAAATGAAAGAAAATACATGTACACGTGGGCACAAACTACAATAACACCGTAGTTAAAGCATTGCTAGACGACAACCTGGAAAACATATGGGGTAGCCACTGTAATATAGCACCTCAGCCCAGAACTAAGGCCATTTAGAGCCAAAAGGAGGCTGCTTCAAGCTCTAATTACGGGCCATTTTCCCCTTTAAAGTAAATGACCTGGAAAAGGGATGGTTCAGTGGTGACCCAAAAGTGATTCTTCAAACAATAGTAAGAAACAAACTGAACCTAACATGGAAGATGCCAATCACCTGACCACATGTTATTCTCAAGAGATAATTTAATAAGAATCTTTCAAACAAGTCTGCAGGAACAAGCTTTCCCCTAACTTTCCAAGGCATTCAAATTAATAAGGTGCTTTTTCAGATCAAGATTATGTTGTTCCTAAAAAAAGAATAAAAATTAGAATAAAATATTCTGTGATTGAAATCCATTCCTGCTCTTAAACATCCTAATTAAATGGTTTCACATGTTTGAACTCAGTGGAACCACAATATAGAATGTTCAAACCATGTCAACATAGACAAGTGGAACAAAGTATAATTCAACCATATTAACATAGGCAATAACAAAGCATACTACTTTCTTTTGGTAATCAAGCACACCACTTACACCATACAGCTAAGAGGCCATGGCGGCTCTCAAATGATCAAATTCACATTTTATGAAAAGCACAGTACACCTAGCTCATCAGTTATGTACTTAGTCTCACTTTCACAGTGATCTGCGTCAACCACTTACCATGTAGTGTTCAATAAATATGCACCCTAGACAACATTAATTTCACAAGCGAGCTCCAAAGAATTTTATCATTTGAGAGGACTTTCTTGTGGCAGTTTTTGGTTTTGCAAGGTGGGATCCATCTTGACAGCACATAAGTAATCCACTAATTTCATTGGTGCTTGTTTGGGAGGGCTTCCAGGTAGCAGCTTCTGGCTTTATGGGGGGGGGGCACCTGAACAGGACATATGCTAGGTTTGTGAAAACCCCAAAAAGCCTAAAATAGCTGTCCTCAGCCAGAAGTAGGGTTTTCTGCTGAAGCTTCTTTTAGTCGCTTCCCCAAAGCAGCTCAATCAAAACTTCAGCCCTTCCAGGAAGGCTTTTCGTGGCAGCTTTTGGTTTTGCATGGACAGCATATGAGCAATGTATGGTAAAAATTGAAAAGCCCAAATTTGCTGTCCTTCAGCCAAATAAAGGGATTTCCATTGAAACTTCTTTTAGTGGCCTCTCCAAAGCAGCTCGGCAAAAGATACTCATCAAAAAGCTTCAACCCTCACAAACTAACCCTTAATAATAATATTTATCTTTACCATCATTTTTTTAAATCATACTTTTTTGTATATATAAAAAAAGAAAGGAATTTGGAAAGAAAAAAATAAGAAACATTACTCACCCTCCCCTTAGGAAGCATGCCACGGACAGCATGTTCAATTATTCTCTCTGGAATTCTTTGTTGGAGTTGATCAAATGTTTCCACCTTCATGCCACCAGGTTTTCCAGAATGCCTCCTATATAGCTTTTGTGTCCTCTTTTTACCAGATACAGCAACCTTTTCTGCATTCACCTGTTTTCAAGTACATTTATCTGAGTTTAGTACCAATCATTAAAGAAACACATGAAAGCACAAAATTCTTATTTATACTTGACATCACATGGCGATGAAAGAAGATGAGAGCTATCATTAAGGACCCCTCAATTTTTGTAACTTGGATTAAACATGTAGAAACATATAGAAAAAATTATGAAGTGAGCACATGACCAACTTTGCATACAAAACCTGAGAAACAACAGTTACTCAATTTAAGTGAAGATCCAAACTTGCACCAGCGATTGTGGGAGACATTGAAAAGGAATTCATTAACCCAACATGGTTCAGCAACTCATTTCTTGCAGGAAGTCAACGAAAAAAAACAAGTTTACTCAAGCAGTGGGCATGAAGCCTAAGTATTGGCCCAGCACGGCTTTGATCAGGAGTCACCATGCATCAAAGAGAAATATGGAGTTCCAAAAGATGTATTATGAAAAGTATTATATTAATGTTGAAGACTCCACCTAAAAAGAAAGAAAAAAAGTCTAAAGATTTCATTAAGGTTTTAGTCTCATTTGTGGGATGAAGAGGCAGTACAGGTACCAGCAGAGAGAAAAACAGACAAAAAAGAGAAGAAAAAAGAAAATAAAGTGGGAGAAAAAGGAGAGAAAATCATCTGAACTAATTAGATGTTGATAAAACAGTAAAAATATCAAACTAGATTTGTAAAAAAGCACTTGAACTCAAGCTCGAGTTTTCAATCACTTTCTCCTCGACCATCTACCAGAACTTAAGGTAGCTAATCCATAGCTTTTCCCTTAGCACCTTTGAAAAACAACAAATCCAATACTGATAGACTAGGTCAACTAAGTTGACTGATGACTACTCAACCTAGTCAACTACAAAGTCTTTTTTGAATGGTAAAGTATGAATTGTATTAACTGAAAATGTGTCAAAAGATTACATTAGAACCACTGTACACCAACGCTCTGCACAAAGGGATGAGAATACAAAAAGAATACTAATTACAAAAAGTGCATCTGCTAGTCATTCATTTACAGCATCCACACACACACACAACAAAAAAAAAAAAAAAAGAAAGAAAGAGGAAAATGAGTCTTTCCCACTGATTTACACTGCTGCTGATTCATGCCATTGAACTCTTCCAGGAGCCTGGTCAAGCAACTTTCCACCTTCCCAATCAATCTTTCTATCTCAGTGTCAAAATGGCTGAATATTCTGTTGTTGCACTCTAGCCAAATGATCCAGCACAGAGCACTGGGAACCAAAAGCTGCAGCCTCTTGCCCCTCCTGCTAAACATATTAGCAGGCCAGGCTGCAATACCAATACCATCCTAAACAGCTGCAAATAAAAGGTACCATATACAGTAGGCTACAGGGCACCGGATTAGTAGATGGGAAACATCCTCAGTCTCCGATTGGCAGAAAACACATTGATTATCTATGGCCATACCACTTCTGCTTAAGTGATCTGCAGTGAAAATTCTGTTAATTAATGCAGACCACATGAAGAATTTCACCCTTGATGGTCACTTTGCTTTCCATATCCAGGACCAAGGGACCATCTCTGTGTTGGAGGGAGCCAAGAATATGAAAAATGATTTGACAGTGAATTCACCTGAGGTTTCTAGTCTCCACCTCATCCTGTCTTGCATAGATGGATCAAGATGAACCTGCCTGCAACATTTCTAGCAGGTTTAAGAGAACCTGAGCCTTCCCAATCATTAAGATTCCACCTCAAAAATGGACTTCACACCCCTTGATTCCCCAGCATTGCAAAATAATCCTTGAGCCAGCAGAAACAGAAATGGAAATAACTCAATGATCGATTTCTGAGTCAAGGGTCCTCATCTGGTCCCCATTCCCGGTTTAAAATTGATGTTAACCAGAAAGGCTGCTTGAGCTTTGAAGTTTGAAATGCATTTCCATATGTTAACATCATAAGACATTTGGACCTCCTCTACAGTCGAGTCTTGCCTTTCATCCCCACTTACCCTGGATTACCGCTTCCTCCAGAAGGCATCCTTTTCTGATCCAGATCTCCAGATCCATTTCCCAAGAAGTCTCTTGTTGACCACTTCTAGAGGTCTAATACTCAAACCACCTTTGTCTTTTGGTTGACACACCCATAGATTTCAAGGCACCGAGACGAGGTTAGGCAATAGGGGGCACCTTGTTGCCTAGGCAATGGGATTTTTTGTAAATAAAAACCATGAATCCTAGGGTAATTCCCTAGGTTCCATAGCAAGCAGCAGCTATTTTCACTATTAATTGTCTACAATCTTCATAAAAAAATGCATAAGTTTCATTTAAAACATAGAAAATCAACATATTCATGAAAAAAAGGAAGAAAAGAAATTTCAGAAAAATAGAGGGGCTGAATCTATATTTTTGTCCTAGGAAAAGAAGAAAAGAAAAGAAATGATGAAAGAAAGAAAGAAAGAAAGAAGAAAATCAATATTTGTTGATTGGACAACATTTTGAGTTCTTCCATGCTTATAAGTTCAGGTTTTGAAGTCTTCAAGGGTTCAAAAACAGTATACATCTCGACTGAACCCTAACAAATAAGAAAAATAATAAAAAAACTAGTATTTCAACTCAAACTGAATAATTTAGCTTAATAGTGTCTGTTTTATTATTATAATCTTAGAAAGCTAAGAATATAAAAGTATCCAAAAGCACTGTGAAAAAAATATCTTGGCAATTAAGTGAGGTGGCCCTCCATCTCCACGAGTGCCTTACCACCTAGGCATCACTCTACATGTAAATATACCTTGGTATTACCTGATTGTCATAATTAGGTAGTATATCCTAGGGGTAGTCTCTATTTTATATGATAGTGGATTATTCTTGTATCGTTTGGTGTTGCAATAGCAAACATGCCTTCATTGGGTTATTTGGTTTTTCATTTCATTTTGTTGATAGCAGCACATTTGTGTTTTATTGGACGGTCACAGGAAATTGTCGTGACAATGTGAATTCATGAAAACCAAATCATAGGCATGCATTCATTGAGTGGTTTGGTTTAACATTTTTATAATATGTCTAGGTTTTTTTTTTTGATAATTATATGTCTAGGTTTGTTTAGACTCCAAAAGGAAGTGTTATGATTATGTCAACTTATCACTTCACATGCTAGTATACCTTCATATTTCTTGATATTCCTAGTAAGGTAGTGGATCCTAGAGGCAATCTGTTATGGATGCATTTGTGGGAAAGGTTTACCGCCGCCACCGGCAGCAGCATTAAGGAGCGGGCCCACACTTATCCTGCCACGACAGCTCTGCTCGCCAACTCGCCGCCAGCTTACATTATCCCTCATCCCTTATCCTTATCTTATCTTATATTCTTAGTAAGAGTTTTGTTTACCATTAGAAGTAGGAGTTTGAGTTTGATTTAGAGAGGGATTATCCTAGCCTAGCCGAATACATCAAGGAATCCCCTCTTGTAATCTCCTATTTAAGGAGCCTATGAATTGAAATAAAGCATTTAGTTTTCCAGTAAGAGAGTAAGAGAAGAGTGAGGAGAGTTCGGGTGGTCTCTTGGACAAATCACCCATTTGGTTTCCACAATAGGGTCTGCACGCAAGGGAAGGCGCAAGGGGAAGCAAGAGGTTCTCCCCGTGGACCGACCCGTGACGAGATCCTACGTCCGGGCCCATAACATTCCGGTATCAGAGCCTACCGTCATGGGGGAACAGGAGCTGCTGTCTTCCAGGGTCCACGAGCTAGAACATAGGCTCGCTGAAACCAGCATGGAGGTTCGTGAGGTCAAGGATGATGTCCGAGAGCTACGACGCCTGCTGGAAGCGTTCCTCTCCAACAAAGAAAGAAGCTCTGAGGGAATCGCCACCACCAACAGCCGCCGTCCGGACTGGGCAGAGACGTCCAGCAAACAGCAGATCGCTGCCCCGACAGCCACTGTTATTCCCAAGTATAGCCGGCTGGAATTTCCATCTTACAGCGGCACTGGAGACCCGTTAGGATGGCTGTATCGCTGCGAACAGTTCTTCCATAACCAGCGTACTGATGACAAGGACAAAGTCAGTCTGGCCGCCTTCCACCTATCAGAAGAGGCGCAACTCTGGTTCTACAGACTGGATCAAGAAGAACCCGGTCTCAGCTGGGGGCAGTTTAAATCATATTGTCTCCTCTGGTTTGGACCCCCATTGACAAGCAACCCGCTGGGCGAGTTGATCAATCTCAAGCAAACCGGAACCGTGGCAGAGTACCAACGCCAGTTCCAAACCCTTCTCGCCAGAGCAACCTCGGTTCGCGCAAATCAGCAAATAGATATGTTTACAGCAGGGTTAGTAGAAACTCTAGGAGTGGACGTAGAGATGCAACACCCTCCTAACTTGGCCACAGCGATGAACCTCACGCGCGCCTTCAAAAGGAAAATGCAGCTCTCCCACGGAAACCTCAATATTGGACGATCGGCAACAACCTGGGCACCTTCGAAGACAGCAGGGGTGTCTCCTTCTTCGATAGCCAGCAGGGAACAAAGGCCTCCTGCCGGTAACCCCTCCAGATCGGCAGCAAGTGTAGGAAGTAGCAGGACAACACCCCCCATCAGACGGCTGACCCGAGTCGAGATGGCAGAACGGCGCACAAGAGGGCAGTGCTTCAACTGCGATGATCTGTACTCCTCTGGGCACAGGTGCAAGAAGCTGTTTTGTCTTCTGGTAGAAGAATCTGAAGAGGACGAGGATGAACCTGCAACATTAGAACCAGAGATCTCCCTCCACGCCATCACAGGGATCAAAACTTCCCAAACCATGCAACTAAGGGCGCGGATAGCAGGGCAACCGGTTCGTATCCTCGTAGACTCCGGAAGCACCCACAACTTCGTCAGTGAACAGGCTGCCTGTCAGTTAGAATTACCAATGGAAATCAGGCCACAGTTACAGGTAGCCGTGGCCAACGGGGAAAAAGTTCACAGCCCCGGTATCTGCAAAGACACCGAAATTCAGGTCGGAACAGAATCCTTCCGGGCTGACTTATTTGTACTCTCCT